CAAAATAACGCCCGCTGCTGACTGATGACACCAGCAAAATATGAAATCCAAGCAAGATCAGTTGAGATCAAGAGAAACGGTGAGAGGACAGAGTTTACAGAAGATGACCGAAAAAGAAAAAAAGAAAAAGGAAATGTGGTATCCCCAAGAAATTAGACATAAATATTTTTTTTAAAAAAGCCACCAGCTGAACCTGGTAGAAATCTATTTAGGAGCAGAGCACAACAGCCACTAACCCTGCTGGGTCAATCATTGGCTTGGTTCTCTTACAGTTGGCACAGCTCCAGGTAGAAGGAAGGAGGCTCTGTGCATTCCGAGACACAAAGCTGGGGACACCATGTAAATATTCACTCTTCCAGGGGAACAAAGTGCTAGTAACCATCCTTACCAGAAAGAAAAAACAATCACTGAGGCCCCTGGTGGCTGTGCTAAAGCAAATATCTGGCAACTAACTATTCAGAAGAACAGACTTTTGCTTTGATCATAGGATGAGGCTAGAAACTGCATTTTTCTGATTACGCTGCATTTTACGCATTCCCTTCTTGATGCCAAACCACATTTATTCTCTATTAGAATAGAAGCCATTTTTTATTCTAAGCAGCTTTCCTAAAAGAGTTTTTTTTTTTCTTTTTCCTAACCAGTGCTCAGTCTGAGTAGAAAGTTTTCTAATATAAAGTCTCAAATTAATGTCAGGCCTTCTACAGCTGGTAACCGTATGCTTTCCCCCTGAAGCTATACTGAGCACAGCAATTTGAGCTAAGAGAAAACTCCTTCCCTGTAGTATTACGAATGTGGTAAGTTATTCAGGGAGCCCACCCAGAAAACAAGAACAAAAATCTCTAAACCAAACCTCTGCAGTTATTCCATGTAACACGTATCATTATACTTATTTTCTTGAGGGGATTATGGACACAATGAGGAGCTAATAGATGTGTATTCCTTTGAGTTATCAACAGTTATTTAGAATGCCATGTTATGCAGAAGGCAGGGTAGGTGCTACAGTGAAAAGTGATGGCCCAGCATTTGCAGTACAATTGATTTTTCAGAAGCAAGCCAAGGTGTAAGGCTAGAGGACAGCCCAAACAAGCAGGAGCTGAAATCTTTGTCCCTATGTGAGTTAGAGATGAAAGAAGAGTAGTAAGAAATTCTACTAAGATGTCAGCCCTGAAGCATGCCAACTGTGGTATCTTCAGGAGTTTTGATTCCCAGTAGGAATGTGAATAAAAAGATGACTCAAGCGAATAACTTTATGTATTTACAAGTAGCACCAGCTAATACTTACATGGCATTAACAACAAGTTGGGCACTATGCCAAAGCACTTTATGTATAACATCACATTTAATCCCCGTAACAGGCAAAAACTATAGTTATCTTCATGTTAAAGAAAGGGAAACTAAGGCAGAAAGAGGCTAAGTCATATGTCTCACATTGTGCCACTATGGGAGCTTATGAAAATCTTAAAAGTTGTAATAAACATGTCAGGTCTCTTCTGAGATTAGAATTATACTTCCACGCCCTTTGACATTAAGCCTGGTCTTGTGATTTTTGTTAACCAAGGAAACATGTAGGTAAGTCATTGAATCACCTCCAGGTAGAATCTGTAAGAGCCAGCATCTTGTTAACAATGTTCTCTTTGCCCTGGCTGGTGATCCCTGAAGTATGTTGGGGAAGAAGACTCCATCAGCCTCAGTTTCTGAGTAAGGTGATGATCATCGGCCTCCTGCCAGCCTGTGTGGGACATTTAGGATGAGGAAAACCTCACCTTTGCTGTACTAAGCCTCTGCAAATTCTGTCTACCGATAGAGTATACTTCAGCCTATGTGGGCTAATACAGTGGCACCTGATAGATTTAGAAAACGAACAGCACAGACTAAGTGAATGGAGGTTCAGAGAATTGGAGTATCAGTATAGCCAGGTCTTTTATCCAAGCCCATTGGGTGGGAAAGATGAAAAACCCATTCTAATAAGCCTTGATTAGTTAAAAAGAGAAACTTGATATTAGGTTATAAATCTCTTAGAATCTAGAGCAGAGACATACAAACAACTGAGCCCCCGGTGACCCAGAAGTAACTCTGAAGCCCACAATTTCAGTTGTTTTCTAAGAGGTCGCATGCACTCCTGTGTTTATGTCTCTCAGCTTTCTTATTTTCTCTACTTCTCAACTCCTTGGCTCAGAACAACATTGCTGTCAATCTCACATAGCAGATCCATCTCTCCTGCCATTTGAAATGTTCTGTGTCACTTAAGTTCAGTTATTGAGAGACAGAATCTGCTTGGCTCATATGGTTTCCCTTTGGACAGAATCAACTTCTGGTCCAATGAACTGACAAGGAGGAGATCCCATGGAACACAGGGTTGTCTAAAGCCAACCTTTCAGTAGAAATGGGAAGAGAGGGCAAGTCCAAAAAAAAACAAACAGTATGTGGATAGTGAAGAAGTATAAAATGATTTATGAAAGAAGTGAGGATGTGATGTAGACAATCAAAGAGAAGGGTGGCCAGAGCATTGTGGGAAGAAATGCCAGCATGTGTAAAGACGGTCAATTGCTCCTGCTTGTTTGTCACTTACAGTAGTTACAGAAAGAACATTTAGGTTTCTCAGGGGCGTGAGGTTAGAAAAGCAAGATGAGTCATCAACCAATATTCATCAGTGATCTTTGCCTTTACCCAAAATATTTTAAGTCTGCTCTGCTCAGCTCAGCAGCTGCGCCTGTGATTGTTTTCAAAGTCTACACTGTGATTTCCAAGTCAGAGTGTGTGTCCCTTCTCTAAACTATATCATTTCTTTCATTTGAATATTTTAGTCCCTTTCAATTTTCTACGTTTTATAAAAATTAATAAGCATTTTTATATCCTCTATAAGACTGTAAGCCACCTTGAAAGAAGGACCTATGTTTTATACCTACTCCTAGCACCTAGCTCAGTTCCCTTTGCCTAACAAAGTTTCATAATTGTTTGTTGAATAATTAAAAATGAATAAACCCTGCTTTAGGAAGAACGAAGAGTAACACTGACTTATGTGGTAAAACTACACAGACTCAAAGTTCTTTGAAAAGCAGATAGCCTACAAAAGGAAGAAGAGAACTTTCAATCACTATAATGACCAACCCCTCTCCCCACCCCAGCCCCAGCCCAAGTTTTTCTTTTGCCTGCTGATTACTCTTGGGGCTCCCTCTCTGCTCCCTAAAATTACCAAACCATTTTTTAAACAATGTTTTCAGTTTTATATCTTGGAATAGAGTTCAAACACAGTACTGAGTTATTTTGACATTATTAGGTCATATGTCATTATATTAGCTGGAAGTGCTAAGAGGCTTTAGACATGATCTGAATCTTCCAATTCTACCTAATGTTAGGCAAGTTACTTTACTTCCTTTAATAAATACTGGATATGATAATACTTACCTCATAGGTTTGGCACACAGAGTATATGAGCAACCACACATAAAGTAGTTAGCACACAGCAGGCTTCAAGAAATATTAAGTCTCTTCCTATTCTGTCATTCCTTTGATGGGAACTGCCTTTTGCTAAGCTGAGTGATGCTACATAATGGTGTGCCATATTGTGCTTTGGACAGACAGACCAGCTGCAATTTAGACTGCTGAATAGAACCCCCAGTGCGAAATTATACAGCCACTCAGGCCCAGTGATCTTTGATCTCTCCAGAGTGCTTCATCTTCTCAGGTCAGTGGCTATGCCTGCTTGTTGCTCTGGAATGACAGAGCAGGTCAAAGCAGGTCTCCACGCTACTGCAAGTGACAAGACTATGCCAAGCATAGCAATTTGGCTCGTTCCCTATTTGACAATGAGGATGACAAGAATTGAAAATGGCACAACACAAATCCATTCTTGAAACCCACATTTTAATAAAAATGGGAAATTTTACAGAAGCTGTTATTCTCAGAATAGGTTTCTCATTGTAATTGTATGAATTTACAATTTTTATTTCTTGCTTTTTTATAATCTTATGTTTAGATCTTGGTATTGGCTTTCAGTGAAATTTGTTTGGGCAGTCAGGAAAAACATAACATCCAACTCCTGACAAGGCTGTACAATTTGGCTAGACTGATGCAACACACGCTAAAGATATTTTCCTTTGCAAAACTAACTCATCGACATTATACTTTTGACATATTAAGAAAAAAACAAACATCAAACCAAAATGCTAGTGAATACAATTTGCCTCTTGTAAGACAGACACTCTGTTATAGCAGTGGTTCTCAAACGGAAGCAACTTTGCATCCCCTGGCCCATCCCCATAAGATAGTTGGCAATAACTGAAGTATTTTTTCATTTTTCACAACTGGAGGGAGGATGCTACTGGCATTGAGTGGGTAAAGGCCAGGAATGCTGATAAGTGCCCTACAATATACAAGCCAGACTTCCACAACAAAAAATTATTCCACCCAAAAATGTCAGTGGTGACACAGTGGAGACAGTTGTGTTAAAGGAACTTAAATTTCTTACTTTGCTTGAATCCAATGCATTAACATTTAATTATTAAAAGTTTTTGCATCTAATGTCCATGGGGCTTATTAGAGGAAAACAGATAAAACTAAAATATATAAAATAGGAACTACCAATTAAGTATCAAACTTTTCAGAAGTCAATATAAGCCATTTAAGTAAACATCATAGTAGTCATCTTTTTCTTTCACTTATTTATAATTCCTAACACTTATATTCCACTTTAACATATCCAATTTAAATTATTTCTCCGATCCTCACAAAAGCCCTCTGAGGTAGATATAATTAAGACTCAGGGAGGTTAAGTACTTGTCCAACAAAACATGAATAATAAGAACAGTCTGGAACCATGAGAAAAGAAAATGACTGAGATCAGGAGAATGGAGCTTCCGAACATCTACCACGTGCTGGTCATCCAACATTGTTTTACCCTCTAAGCCTTGGCTTCCCCAGCTATCTAATCAGAGTAGTAATTGCTAGCTCAAATAATCACTGCAAGGACCGAACAAGGTGATGAATTTCAAATAAATTACCTCACATGGTGTGAAACAGACACAGAGGTGTCAGAGCACCAAGGCTAGAGCCAAATATTCCCATTTCTAATCCAATGCACTTTCTTCCATCCCATGAGGTCCCACCATCTGTTTAGAACACCACAGGCATTTGAGGTCACTGATTTCAGTAGCAAATGTGTATAGGGTGCCTGAGGAAACAAAAAAGGAAAAAGAAATACCTTAAAATCACTTAAAACTCCTTTACTTTCAACTGTATTGTTCAAAATTGGCAAGAGATTTCCTTCTCAGCCAGGACAAGATAAGCTGAAACTTTCCATTTTCCATGATTGAATAGTATGTGTTTTTGTATGTGTTGGCGAATGGAGGGCAGGGAAAGATCATCTGAAAACATTCTAAAGCAAAAACGGACTTGATCATCTTCCCTAAAATAAGGAGAACAAACTTCTGTTTGTCAGAGCAATATCAGACCAAGGGAGTGTATTTTTCTCAAGCCTCCAGCAAATCTTTTTGGGCCAGAATCTAAGAAACTGAAAACTTAAAAAGAAACACTGACCCAGTAATTCCACATCAGCAAATTAATCAGAAAAAAATACGTATATACATAATTTTAACATGCAATACAAAAATTTTAATGTCATGAATAAAGTTATATAAATGATGGAATCTTTTATAATCATGAAAAATTAAAACCAAATAAAATATCTGGAAAGAGAACAGTGAAGCAATTATTGAAAATTATGGTAAAGGATAGCTATAACAACATGATGAACCTCTGCTACAATAGCAAGGGAAAAAGCAGAAAGAGAATCACAAATGCAAAATAAACTCTGTTTTATTTTTTAAGCCTAACTGGTAGAGAATAGTCTAAAATGCTACAGTGGTGAGATGAGAAACAATTTTTCATCGTTCTTATTTTCTATTTTCCAGCATTATAAAGTGAGCATATATTCATGTTATCATCTAAAAAAAAGAAGTACATATAATGATTAAGTTAAGTTGACTTGGGAAAAAAAAAGCAGCCAGGTTGGAAGAATATATAGATTTTATGTGGAGAATTTGCTCTGCAAATAAAATAGTTCCATAAGGCAGGGGAAAGAAAAGCTTGATTTTTACACCTTTCCAAAGCCTTTAAAACCAAATTCCCCTCAGCTGATTGATTTCATCTTGACATGTAACATAACCCACAGTTCTACAATAAAAGAAACCATGAAATATAAATGGTGATTTCCAGAGTATACGTATGTATATGTTGATTGACAATTTTTCAGCAGGGTGGCTCATCATTGATATCCTGCCTTTTGTGTGACATAGTTTGCATGTCCTTAATAATTATTAAGGAAACTGCTTTGAATTAGCTCTAAGTTTCTAGAGAATATGAGTTAGTCTGCAGTAAAGGCATAAAAGATACTTAGGTTGGATCATGTATTTCATTACTGAGCATCAAAATCTGAGTAAGAGACCATTTGATGGTCTGAAGTACCCAACTGGCTGTCAAGCCAGTTATTGGCTTGAACTATGTTCCATATAATAACTCATTTTTCTCTCTTTTCCTCTCCCTTCTTGCATAATTGCCCAACAAAACTTCTAATAGCACATGGCCTTAGAGGAAAATGTATTCAAGAGCTTGTTTAACCAAATGATCCTCAGGCCTCCATCTAAAGAGGCATATCAACAGCTTTAAACTGGGGAGAGATAGCATGGGGAGAAATGCCAGATATAGGTGATGGGGAGGAAGGCAGCAAATCACACTGCCATGTGTATACCTATACAACAATCTTGCATGTTCTTCACATGTACCCCAAAACCTAAAATGCAATTAAAAAAAAGAATCAACTGAAGAGTCCATTTAAAAAGAGACTCATGCTATTTATATGCTATTCATAGCAACAGAAACATGAGAACCACCATGAGAATTACAGACTTAAAAGCCATCTTTTGAGCAATTTAATGAAAACAATCATTTAATCCCAAATACATAACCTTTGTCATGGTTGTATGGTCGTACAACCATGCTTTGGATGGTCGTAACCACTCAGTTTCTGATAATTATTTCCCCACCTAGAAAGTTCATTTCTAAAATATGTGAAGTAAATGTGGAGATAAGAGATATGTGTTGGGCTTTGAGAAAGCCCAATATGAAGACCTCTCTTCCCTGTCCAAGTTTTAAACTCATTGAAAAACACAGTACACAGACTGAGATCTTATTTCCTAGTGGACTGCATCTGTGACAGTCCAGGTGTCAGAAATAAACAGTATCTAGAGCACCATACACCTGTAGAACTTTCTGCAATAATGGAGACATTTTATAGCTGTACTGTTCAATATGGTAGCTACTAACCACTTGAAACGTGTCTAGTGTGACTGAAGAACTGAAATTTTAATCTTACATTATTAAATTTAAACAACTATATTTAGTTTGTGGCTACTGTACTGGACAGTGCAAATCCAGAATGTCAGGACAAGAGCTAGGAATTCAGTGCCATTTCATGGTCCTACCAACAATCTGTGGAAAAGTAGTCAAACATAATAGGCAAGGGTAACTAGGTGTCAGTCACAAAGGAAGAGAAAGACCCAGGCTTCGAAGGGAGGAAAGGAGATAACAGTAGGCATAATAATAACTACTGAGTGCCTATGGTAGGTAATATTGTCCCCATTTTTCATTTGAGGAGAGCGTGGCTCAGAACTTGTCCAAGGTCATACATGTATATGAGAAAGCCAGAATCCGAAACTGACTAAAGTTTAGCCTCTTTCTAGTGTGCTCAAAATGGGATTCTTAAGAGCAAAATCATCAAATCAAGCCAAACAGTGAGCATCAAATATCTTCACATATCCTTAGTCCTTAATTAAGCCTTCTGATCTCTTTTATGATTCACTTTATGCATCACTATGTAAGAGGTATATAGGAGAAACTACAGTCATTCAGCAGCATCCTTTAACCACCATCTGTTGAATACCTACCACATTCGTAGTGCCAAATGCTGCCGCTGAAATGAATAGGATATTAAGACACGATTGTAAGTTAAATGATGGTAAATTGTGGCTGGATTTCAACCTTTCAGCTAACTGTCTCCACTGCAGAACCCTGACGCACCAGTCACTGCTCAAAAGATCCTGCAAGGAGGAGCAAACAAGCTCAGGCTGTGCTTCTAAATTCCCATGCCCTCTCTTAGCCTGTAGAATTGGCTGCTCCTTTGCACAGAAGTGACCGCTGAGGAGGAAAAAGTTCACAGAAGCATCTCTAGGGTACACAGTTCACATTATATCCTATGTGAGTGGTGCCCCTGACACTAAAACGGGTGGCCTACCTCTCTTCATACATTATTTTCCCAGAACCTACTCTGGTTCCTGTCAGACTTTTTTAAAGGATAGAGAAGGAAGAGCTCCTGGACTTATCTCAGCAAATTAGCAGCACAAAAGATGTGATTAACATAGGAATTTTCTTTAAGCTCAAACCAACCCGGAAAGAGAAAGTGAAAGTCAAAGTTTTCAGTTCTTGTTTTCTCCCAAGAAAAGCTTCAGCTTCCAGCATTATGGCTCTGAGCATCTTGTGCAGGTGACTCTGGGCCACCTATGCTAACAGCAGTCTGGATCCTCAAGGGGCTCACAGCCAAGTGAAGGAGGCACAGCAATGAACTATTGCTGTTCAATGACAGCTTCTATAGGAGAGGGATGTACAGATGCTAGTGGTAGCTCCAAGAAGGTACTAATCAGAGTTTCGCAGATGCCTTCCATGAGAACTGTTTTCAGTAAGATAATAAGGAATTAGACCTGAGAGCTATTGTCTACATGCATGACCTATGGTGTTTTGTGGGATGCTCCCAGCAGTCAACCTCAGTGCAGGAAGCCAGTGCTTCCTGAGAGGTACCCAGCTTGATTAATGAGCTTTTTACTGTGAGCCAACCTAAGCCAACTATCAGTCAAGGGAAGAGAAAACATGAAATGCAGGTTTCAGGTTTCCATGCCATATCTAGGTCCATCCTGAAGGCCTATACTCTCCTTTCTTTCAGAGATTAAGGATATATGCCCCCACCCCCACCCCAAAAAAAAGGGATGGCCAAAAAAGGTGCCATAAGCTTCTTTAAAGCCATTAATTATGAAATTGAGCAATTCTGAAGCTGCCCTGAGAGTGTCTGAGGTCAGCGGTAAAGTTTCCAGATCATCTGTACATACGATCCACAGGGAAAGACCTGAGCACAGGCTCCTCAGGGCAGAGACAGTTCCACTCATCACGGATCTCAGTGCCTTCCATGCCTGGTACCCAATGGGTGTTTATTATGTATTAGCCCTCTTTCTCCATATAGTAGTTCTGTTACATTTATCACACATTTATGGAGTACCTACGTGCCTAGCATTATTATAAGGGTTGAGAATAAATAGAAATGTAAAACATACTGTCCTTTGGCTCTCCACTCTCATAATACTGATGCTGATTTATTGCTTCCCATACCAGCCCCTCACACTGGCTCCCTTCTGAGCAATAAAGTTCAGAAGGAAACCTACTATCCCTGATCAGAGAAACACATGTCTACACAGGAATTGAACTGATGTCCTTCACTGGCATCATGCTTTTACCAGCTGGCCCCATATACTGCAGATGTGCCAAAACGGATTCACTATCATGTTGACACAGCTTTATTGTATCTTCTCCAAAACAACCTAGAATTATCCTTCCAAGGAGTAGCATTGAGATGGACAACTTAACTTCTGTATCTCCTGACTTCGCGAGTGTATTTCTAGATTAGCATTATGGAGGTTACACAGGATTTTTTTTTACTCTTTGACACTTTGGTTTATAAATTATGCTATTTATATTTGTTTGCCCCTAATCATCCCAAGGAGACTGTCCTTGTCACTGGAAAATAAGGATGAGTAGCCATACAGTGGCAGAACACAGCGAACACAAATGATCAAGGAAACAACAACTAGCAACAAGATGAATGTGCTGGAAGCAAGCATAACAAAGAGAGGTGATGGTGAGCATGGGCCATTGCTCCAGCAGCACAGCCAGCGGCTCTGTGCATAAATGCTCAGCAGGCTTCAGTGCGGGAGCTGGAACTAAGTTCATACTGGAGGCCAAACAGACTGTAAAGTCAACTTGAGGGACTTTAGAGGAATAGGGGAGAGGAGGGTGGAAGTGATTGACAAGGGCTTCCTGGCACTTCTTACATAATATCCCAGCCTGTCTAGC